AAGCATGCTGTCTTTGCTCTTACCTAACCTCTCTGTGCTGAGGCCCTCCAGCAGAGGCTGTTACCGGGAGACTGAGAGCCAGGGAGTAGAAGGGGAAAAGGTAGAGCAGAGGGCAGTGGAGAGGGAAGGAGAAGGAAGCTTGCTCAGAGGGCAGGGAGGAGGTGTGCCCTGGGCAATGAGAGACTAGCTGTAGTTGTCAGCGCTCAAGGATTGTTAAGCAGAAAGTGGCTTGCCATTTTATATTATAAAATTTAGATAGTTAGGCCTTGTTTGTTTTGTTTTTGAGCTGGCGTCACTGTGTGGTCCAAGCTAGCCTGGGACTCACAGTCAGCTTTCCTTGGCCTCTGCTATGGCCAGCATCCTGGCAATTTTTCCCTTTCCTGTGGAATCAGGGTAGAGTGGAATGTGGGCTGTTTAGAGGTGTTTCCCTTCTAAGGGGCTATTAGGCAGACGGGCAAATTGACACGGGGCTGTAACGACGATGTGCTCCTGTCTTTCTGACTGAGTGCTTGTTTGGTTCTTGTTTTTTTGAGACAGGGTCTCTGTGTAGCCCCAGCTGTCCTGAAACTGTTTACAGGCTGGCCTTGAACGCACAAGAGATCCATCTGCCTCTGCCTCTCAAGGGCTGGGATTAAAGGCTTGCACCATCATGCCTGGCTGAATTACCAGTTTCTAATGATAATTTTGCTTGGATGCAGTCAATTGGCTAATTTAGCATTCAGAGAAAAAAATGCTGCCTGCCAGTGACCAGTTTCTGTGTCAGCCAGGGAAGAGGGCCCTCTGTCAGTACCCTCAGGATCCTGACTGGTGATCTGGGCTGTTTCTGCTCTTGACAGGGAGAGACCAGCTGCAATATCTATTGAAATCAAGAGCATCGACGATACCTCAAACTTCGATGACTTTCCAGAGTCTGACATTCTTAAGCCCACAGGTAATCCCACTGGCTGCTGCGGCCTGAGAGTTGCACCATCCCTGGCAACTGTAGGTGTTTACAGATCAGATTGTGGAGGGGAACTTCTGAGCCTGTGCAGGCATTTATCATACCAAACGAGGAATGCGACCTGAATAGGAATCCATGTTTAGACTCTGAGCTGGTTGAATAAATCACAAAACTGCTGGTTTGTTGCTCTTTAGATTACAGGTTAGGTAAACTGAAATGAAAGGTGTGAGAAAATAAAACTTAGAAAGTATTTGTGCAGAAATAGGAAGTTCAGGGAACATAGGTGAGCAGATAGAAATTTGCACAGTGAAAAAGAACCCTTTCCCAACCGGCACTGTATTGTCTCTGGGGCCGAGCTGTCCTTGCACAAGAATAGTGACTGTCTTACTTCTGTTTCTTTGCCAGTGACCACGAGTAATCATCCTGAGACTGACTACAAGAACAAAGACTGGGTCTTCATCAATTACACATACAAACGCTTCGAGGGCCTGACAGCCAGGGGGGCCATACCTTCCTACATGAAGGCAGCCAAATAGGCCTGTGCTGGAGCCCTAGGCGGGCAGAGTTCTCTGTACAACATTGTGGTTTTCCTCTCGCGCTCTTGAAAGAACTTCCAGGAAATCTGTAGAACTCATTACTGTGTCATAGTCAAGTCTCTGCAATGTGACTGTAAGTGGATATGCCTCCACAGTGCACTGGAAGCTGAGAGGGCAAAGACAAGCATTCCTCCATCGGCTTCTTTAGAAGCCCTGTGAGTCAGTTTGCTAGGTGTTTTAAAGAAAATTTGCATTTCCCAAGTTCATCCGAAGGAAGGGGAAAAACAGCCATCCACCGTTACCAAGATGATACACCCCGAGTACCAGCCAATGCCTGTGCTGGGTGATAGGCACCCGCCAAGCCCACCAAGTATTTCTCTCTTTATAGCTGGAAATTCTGTAGTAAAGAAATAACGCAATAATGAAAGTCTGCGTGAAAAGCCAACAGTGTAGCTGAAGGAAGGATCTCCGTCCTGCGGGGCCGGTAGTTCCTCCCCGCACCTCGGCCTGGGCGCGTGGCTTTCCACAGCCTCATTCATGGTGCACTTTACTTACGGTACTAGGGCAAAGCCCGACTCCCGTCTCCCCATCCAAAGGCTCGAGCTGCTCTTCTGAGTGTTGGGGGGGGGGGTACTGGTGTGATCCTTTGTTGCTTTTAGAAGGCCCACAAAGCCACTGGGCACTGGCAAGGAGTTCTGGACCATCGGGACAGCCCTCACTTGTCTTCACGGCTCTCTGAGCAGATGCGGAGACACAGCTGGCTCCCAGCAATGCATGCAAGTGCTACCAGGGCAGCTTGTTCCTGAGGTCGTAGCAGGGAACTCAGTGGAGGCGCAGATGCAGCCATGCAAGATCTCACACTTCCCGTGCAAGTCAGGGTGGAACCAACCCCGCCGACGCGTCCTTGAGCGAATTCCTCAATCCATGGTGCAACTGTGTTTGTCTTGGTATTTCCATATCCCAAGTTTAAGTGGCCATTTTGCCTTGGAATCATGATTGATAAATTTTTCCTTTGCAGATGCCTTCCCGGGGCATATTTGCCTCTCCACCCTAAGGGGTTGCCTGCAGCTTGGGCTGACCTGGCCTCTCCGCTGTGGTGTTCTCTCCTGAGAAACACTGAATTTAGCACAAAGTGCCTTCTCTGTCACAGCTGCTGCCACCTTTAGAAGACTATTGCTGCGTCAGAAAAATGTGGAGGTTCCGTATTAATGCATCATTAGTTTGGTTTTATGTGTTGATAACTGTTAAAGCGTTATTTGCTCCTGTGTAGAAACTTGCAGTGTCGTGGCTAAGCTGCCACCGGGACAGGCTCTGCCAGTCTTGAGGTTGTGAAGGTCAGCTCTGTCCTAGCTCAGCCATTCAGAGAACAGAATGAAACAGAAATTGTAAGCGAAACTGCTTTGGGTTTTCTTGTCTTAGATGAAGAAAAAGGAACGTTAGAGAGGTCTTAACTCTGGGTGAGGGTGACTGGTGGGCTAGCTCCTTCATCTTGTAGTCAGAGCCTGCTAGTGCAAAGGGGACGGAAGGTCCTCTGTGCAGCTTTGAGCTCTCTGTATTCCCAGACAGTCGGGGTCCTAGCCCGTTCGCATGTGTGTGCTGAGCATGGGAGGTGGAGTAGGGTAGCGGTAGAGCCTGTGTGCTGGGGATGGTTCATTTGGGGGAAATACCCACATTTTAACTATTCAACTTCTGAATAAACTGTGGAAACAGTAGAACACTGTGGTTCTCTTTGTGTTGGAAAGCGACTGTGGTTTGAAGCTGTACAAAACAAGCAGAGCTCTGGTGACCCTTCCCAACCGTTTGTCCAGAATTGGAGCAACTGTGCCGAGGCAGCTTGTTTGCGGGAGCTTGTCTTCTGAATCGACTTCAGTAGAAGAGACTGCAGCGTCCCTGCCTCCCTACGTTCTACCTCAGTTGTTGGACAGGTATCACTGGGTCATCTAGGAACCCCAAGCTTACAGTGGGGGTAAGCTTCCCAGCCTTGTGTTAAAAAAAATCATTACATTTTTCCTTTGTGTAACATGCTTGTGTGTGTGGTGGTCACAGGATTTATAGAAGTGGGTTCCTGTCCGTTACAAACTCGGGCTTGCATAGCAAGTGCTGTTACGCTGGCCTGGCATCTTGTCAGAACTTTTAAAAAGTGACTTATATGTGCAGCGTGTTTTCGCGGTGCTCAGGGAGGCTACAAGGACCTCAGCTCCTGAAACTGAAGTTTGTTAGGAGCTGCGGTGTGGTGCTGAGAAACTGAGCCCTGGTCCTCTACAAGAGCAGCCAGTGCGCTGCTCTCTGCTGCAGAGTCAGTTCTGCAGCCCCGGTTAGTTTTAGATCCATCTGTGTGGTGCACCAGGTGACCACTGGGTTCTCAGAATCGTCTCTCTGGAAAGCACATTTTCTGGATCCCTTGTCCCAGGCCTCTCCCATGGGCTTCTCTGTGTAACCCATGTGGTTTCAACTCCGCTCAGTTCTCCGAGTGGCACTTTAATTCCTACTTAGCAGGTTTCCTTAAAATGCCCAACTGTGAAGGCTAATGCCGGCATAAAAAGCAGGCTCTGCTTTTTCACAGCGTTGCAGTCCCTCCTGCAGAGCCCCATGCTGGGTGCTTCGGAGCCTCTTAGGGCTGCACTGCAGATGAGCCGCTGCTTCGTCGGTAAGTGCAAAGTACAGACAGCAGGCCAGCACACAGACCTGCGGGAGCTCTCGGAGTTCCTCAGCAGGGACCGGAACACAGCCAAGAATGGGTCCACTGCTCACCGCACCCCTCCTGCGCACCTGAAGCCCACTCCAGGCTGCTTTGTGCTCATCTGTGAAATGCCATCATCCCCCCCACACACCCACCTTTTAAGCTCAGGCTAGTTTTGAACTTGGTCCATTCTACGAGCATCTGCCTCTTACTTCCTCAGGCCACTGTGGAGATTGTGGGCCACACTTGGGTCTTGTCCTTCCTCTTTTGAACTTTTTCCCCTTGCTACTAAATTCCAAATCTGTCCCAGTGTGGTTCATAGGACTCCTGGAAGTCCTCTGTGAACTCAGTAACACAGTCCAGCCCTGGCTCGTTTCCCGAGTAACCTGGACCAGAAGGTCTCTGCCCACACTAAGCTTTTGCAGGGGAGGACCTATCCTAGTGAGCATCAGCTGAGGCCAAGCAACATCTGGCAGAAAATGCACGCTCCACGTCATCAAAGGCTGACCTCTAGGTGTGGCTGGGCTGGGCACTGAGTGAGCCAGGAATAGCCTAGCAGCACCGCAACCCCTGCCGCTGTTCCTCACCTGATCTAGTCCAGTCCAAGGAGGTCTGGGAGCTAAGCTTTTAACTTTACATGTGGTTGAGGGTCAGGGTTAGATGGGAGTGTTAAGGTCTCCAATGGCAACTAACTGACCTCAAGAAGGCAGCTCTGGAGAGGAAGGAGCAGCGCAGGCTTCTGATGAGCCCATGTCCTAAGGAAGAACCCTCTCCTGGCCAGCAGGCAGCATCCCTTTAAATCCTTGGAGGTTTGGGGCTTTCTTTTCTATTAAGTAACAAAGGACACAAATAAAAATACTTTATTATAGAAAAAGCATCCCGTACACAGGATTCCGTAAACACTGGTAGGTGAACAAGTGCAACTTCAAAAGGAAATACACGGGCAAAATCTACACAGTTTGCCCTCAGGAGAAAATGGAATTCTCCAGAAATGATCCCATCCAGCCAAGAGCAGCTCTGCCTCCTGCTGTGCTCCCTGCACCCACCTCAAGCTGCAGATGGCAGTAAGTGGCAGCAAGTGCACCACAAACTCAACTCGAATCACAGTTTGCGTTGGAGCCTGTGCCCTGAACGTCACTTCCCTGGACACCTCTGAGAAGATGCCGCTTCCTGCACAGCATTCTCCGGCCTGTACACACCTGACATCATCTCCCTCGGTACTGGTCAGGGAATGGCTACCTTACGCAGTCTCCCCCACCTTCCTCAAACTTTGCTCTCAACCCACATGTGACATCCTAATACTGTGTCCCTGTTCTGCCAACTCCTTAATGGCAGGCGTGGCTGATCAGCTACACAGGATACGAGGACATGCGTCAAGCCTCTGGTTCAAGTTTATCTTCTATCTTGCTAAGATGTTCTGGGTCATTTTTCTCAGGAGACTCCCTGCACATAGCCCGGATTACTTATGCAGGCACTTACAAAACACATCTTTTATTAGAGAACTGCTCTCATAGCCAGTAACTAACTCCAAAGACAACTGTAACCCAGCCCGATCCTGCAAGGTCCCAGCGCTAAAAATGTCACTCTGAGAACAGAAGGCAAGACACCAAACTACAGTGACACTGAAATTTAGGCAAGAGTGGAGCTGAAGGTGTGCAAAAAGCTTCCCTCTCCACAAGGTGTCTGTGTCCCCAGCCTTCCTTTAGTCAGCACCCCCAATGCCACCGCATCAGCCTTTAGTCAAACTCCATGGGCTGGAACCCCAACGTGCTAATTTACTTGGCCTGTGGGGGTGAGGCCTAGTTCATAAAAGGCCGAAGGCAGTGAACTAACCCCGAAGAACGAGGACCTGAACATACATCACCGACTCCATCATACTGCAGTGGCCGTGGAGAAGCAGAGGACGCACCACTGACCCAGAGCCTGGGCTGCTCAGCCACCAGTGAGCAAACATGTAGCACCAAAGTCCAGGCCAAGGCTGACCTCAGACATACCAATCGGTTCACAGAAGCAAGCTCAAGCTAAGAGCTTCAGCCCGTATTCCAGATGCTGGCTTCCAGCCTCGCCAAGCCACAACTGCCATCACGGAAATGAGAGCCGCTTAGCTCTCCTGCAGCTCTGAGCAAGGATGATCCCGAACCAACTCCCCCTGAAACTGTAAGAACACTCTGTCCTTCAATCCCACAGAGGCCTCCAAAACCTGATTTTACTGCCATCAAGTAGTACGCCACACAGTGCCTTATGGGAGCAGACTTCAAGAAACTACGTTCTTTAAGGAGCTTGAAGGAACGGCTTACTCGAGCCACCTATGATGGGAAGAAGGACCAACTCAAAGGTCAACTGCTACCAGGAAGTAAGGTAATGCCAGACACTGCTATCTGGCTCTCGATTCTGCAGCCAGCCATGGAAATGTCAGAAGAAGGGGCTAGTGATCTGGACTGCCATCTACACACGTCAGAGTACACAGATCAAACAGAATGACAAGGCCTGGACCTGACTTTGGGGAGGACAGTAGTATCATTTTCTTACCATGTCTGAACAGCTAATGGGCTCTTTAAAAAAAGAAACAAAAATGGAAATGCACTGGTGTGTGAACTCTGTGCAGCCCCCACACAGGTCCTGTTCGTTTCCCTGGAGCTCAGGAGGGTACCAAGCAAATCTTATCGTCAAGGTACCAGGTCCCCTACCACACCCACAGCAGTGAGCTGCCCCTCAAGGGGCACTGTGGGTTCCTGCCAGGGGGTCCTGCTGGCCTGCTCTGGAGTCACCTCAGGCTGCACCAGCACATTTCGAGCCACTGCTCTGTTCTTCCCCGTCTTGTGCGTCAGTTTGCTCCCGGGTTACTAAAACGTAGAGCTGAGCTTGTGGGACTTCCTTTCAGACATTCTATGCAGATGGCATCTGGGTGCAGCGCCCAGGAACTGTTTTCCACCCACCTGGCACACTCCCTCAGTCGGGCACACGTGCAGCAGCATCCAGATGGCCTTCTGTGATGTTTGGTCCTCTGCCATTAAGCCATCTGTTTGGGGCAGAGCCCACCCACCTGCCAGGTGTAAAGGCTACTGTGCCAAGTATGAGGCAACAGTCCACTTCCTCTCCTGCAGTTATGCAAAGACTCAGCCAACAGCACCAGACCCAAAGTGTTTGTTTGCCAGAGGGCTTCTTCACCTGGCCAGAGGCAGACCCAGAAAAGGGCACATTGCTAACTCAGAGGAAAGGGAAACGGGAGGAGAAGCCTCTCCGCAGGGTGAGAACCAGGACGGGAAGCCCTGCTTGAGGTGCCCACACCGAAGAGCTGCAGGACGGGCAGCCCGTCTGTCCCTAATCCTGAAAGCCATTGGGAGCCATCTGAGACAGCGGAGCATTCAGCCGGTCAAGTTCGTCCACTTGCGGCGGGTGGTGCATTATTATCTCCTGGTCCTCCAGGACATCCTCCCCAGCAGCCACCAGATTGGTGAGGGATTTGCTGCGAACACACTGGAAATCCACATGGCGACTCTTCCCTTCCTCCTTTTCCCACGACATCTGGATAAAGGGGCGCTGCACGTAATTGTAGATCACCTCAGACCGCCCGCCCGGTCTCCTCTTGATCTTCTCTTTACAGGTGGGGTACCCTGCAATGGGAAGCGCGCTGTGCTCACTCTGCCATCCACTTCCAAGTCCAAAGACAGCTCAAAGAAAGGCTCTGTGGCAGGCAACCAGAGCCTTCCCAAGGGCCCTCTGTCCCTAGAAGGCCTGGGCTGTGGGAAGCAATGAGGATTCTCCCTCTCTTAATGGAAAGGGCAGAAAAACCACTTAGTAACTTCAAGAGCCTTTAGTTGCTGCAAACAGTATCAAGGACAAAAACCCCACCAGGGCACAGGTATTACATCACCCTACTGTAGAGGAGGCATAGTTGAGTGGAAAGGAAGGAAATGTGGAACTTTTACCTCAAGGAAAAATACAATACTACAAGATACCCAGAACGGGCTCCAGAGACAGAGGGCCTTGTCCAAGCAGTGGAAGAGGCAGGAAGGGGACAGCCAGCTCTATGGATCAGGAGTGTTCCCAGCCTAACAGCTTGGCAGTGCCTGGGGAGAAGGGAGGTCCTGTCGGCAGGCCTTCTCACAGACAAGGCAAAGGGAAAGGCTAATAATTTTGTTTGTTTTTTGAGACAGGGTTTCTCTGTGTAGCCTTGGCTGTTCTGGACTCACTCTGTAGACGAGGATCTACACATCCTCAAAGGGAAAACAAAATCTCAGTTTTTATCTGAAGACAAGAGGCTCATATACAGCCTCAGCTGGCCTAGCAATTGCCATACAGACCAGGCTGGCCTAGAACTCACAGGACTCCTTCTGCCTCTGCCTCCTGAGTGCTGGGACTGCGCCATTACAGTTGGCAAATCTCAAGTTCTTAAGCTCTGTTTTTCAAAAGAATAATTTTAGAGCCAGAAACACATTCTTGCTCAGGTGAGCCCTGTGCCCTGGGGCCGTGTTTCCTGAGGGGAGAAAGGCAAAGGCAGACCTCAGGACAGCCAACAATACAGCAGGGCCCGTCAGTGAGTGCAGTTTAAGCATGCCAGGTCTCAAGGCCCCTGTCAACCAAGGTCAGGGGAATAAGCTGTGGCCAAAGATCCACCCTACCCCTTAAGTTTGCAACCTCAACATCGGCAGACTTTTATTTTTTGGGCTTTTTGAGACAGTCTCTCTGTGTAGCCCAGGCTGTCACCTGCCTCTGCCTCCTGCGCACTGGGATTAAAGGTGTGCGTCACCAATGCCCAGCTGGCCAAGACTTTACGTATATATGTTTGTTTATTTTTGAGAAAGGGTTTCTCTGTGTAGCCTTGGCTGTCCCACACTCACTTTGTAGACCAGGCTGGCCTCGAACTCAGAGATCTGCCTGCTCTGCTCCCTTGAGCACTGGGATTACAGGCGTGCGCTACCACGCTCCACTATGTATGTATGTATGTGTGTGTTTATGTATGAATGTATGTATGTATATGTATGTACGTTTGTATGTATTTTTATTTATTTTATGTGCACTGGTGTTTTGCCTGCCTGTATGTCTGTGGGAGATCCCCTGGAACTGGTGTTACACACAGTTCTGAGTGCCCATGTGGGCGCTGGGAACTGAAACTTGGGTCCTCTGGAAAAGCAGCCAGTGCTCTTAACCACTGAGTCAGCTCTCCAGCCCCATGGTCGAGCCTGTAATACCTTCAATTCCAATGCGAATGTTCTTCAAGCCACGTTCCTTTAACACTGTTTTAGCAACATCTCGATTCTCAATATATTTGAAGAATCTGTAGAGCTTGGAGCTATAAAGAACTGAAAGAAAACAAATCCCACAAAATCTGGAGTTAATCATAGAGGAAAGGAGTGAGTGATAGTCATGGGCTACAAACCCCTGGCGGTGGCCAGCTGTCACACCCCCCCAGCCGCCAGCATCCCTAAGACTGGTGTTCCTGGCTCGCAACAACATCTGTCAACATTCTGAAAGCACCACGCTTTTGACATTTGATGTCTAGGAATGTCTACTATATTAGTAGACAGGAGCGTCTACTATAGAATCTAGGTGCAAACATACTGTTTAGAAGTTATCAGTTTTGTGTGTGTGCGTGCGTGCGCACGCGCGGACACACACACACACACCCCTCCAGTGTCCTACAAGGCAAGCAGGATATGAATATGGATGTGGCACGTTCATGGATGTGATCCTGAGCAGCCATAGAAGAGAAGGGTACAGCTGCAGTGCAGCAGGGTGAAGCTCCGGCAAGTGCGCACCCTTCTCTAAAGGCTGCACGTGGAGGCCAGAGGGCACCCCGGGCCGTCAGTCTCTGCCTGTGTCCCTGCTGGAGACTTGTTCACCGACGTGCACCCAGCGCTGGCTGGTCCAGGGGCTCCAGGCTTCTCTGCCTCCACCTCACTGGATTAGACATGTGCTGCCGGTTCTGGGGTCTGGACTCAGGTCCTCACGGCTGCATGCCAACTGCTTTCCTCAGAGCTGATACACAGCCTACTTTCACGTTTTGAATTATTACCAAGCCAACAATGGAAGAGAATCTAACTGCCCCTTCAGTATCGGACAATGCCATCCCCTGGGGAGAGGAGAGCCAGATCCCAGCGTAGGTCAGGCCGCATTGCTGGCATCCCCTCAGGTGCAATGCCTATCACTAGCAATCAGTGCTAGCTGTGTGGTGCTAGGCCCTGGCTGCACTCTACAAGGGTTTTTCTTGTTGTTTTGTTGTTGCTGAAAACGGCCACACCCTACAGGGGCTCCTACTTTGGGAATACTCTTCCCCCATGGGTGGGGGGTGGTCTTCATCCCAGTCCACAGAGTCCTCATCCGTCAGCACGACAATGTGGCACTCTCGCTCCCCTTTCTTGGCACAGCCCACCATGATGGGCAGAATGAGCTCTTCGAGGTAGTGATCGAACTGCTTGTGGGCACCATCGTTGGACAGCTCATGCAGTAAAGCACCTGGGGAAGGAAAGGCCAATGTACCTGCTTCCTGCCTGCACAGTGCTGCGGAGCGCAGACTAACCGCAGCCATCATGGAGCACACACAGGGAAGAGGCACACTACCCACAGAGCTTCCTGCCCTGTAGGAATTAGCCTGACTTCCTCGGTTTGCCTTTACCTCGATCTTTCCTCACTGACTCAGTCCCCCTGCCTGTCAGAGCTGATACATGGGCCTACCCAAGAGGAAAGCAGTAGCTCAGAGCCTGGCTGGCAAAGTCAGACTTCCCAGTCTAACGATTTCCTTTCCAGCCTCCGTCCTGGGAGCTGACCCCAGGCAGGCCTCGGTGACTTTCTGCTAAGAATGAGGCCAGCACCTCGCAGCACCAGGCGGGCTCCCCATCACCTGAGCCACACCCCAGCCTGCTTTGAGACAGGGCGTTGTGCTGTAGCCGTGGCCGTGCTGGCACTGAACTCATGGTGGGCCTCCTGCCTCCAGAGTGCTGGAATGGAGGTCAGAAGCCGTTCTCCAGCTGATTCATTTCCTCACTTCCCCACAATCCCCAGATGCCAGAGAAGCGATGCAGCCAGCAGCTGTCTGCCGCTGCGGTGGTTCTCAACCTCCACCCACTCTCCTCTACCTCTGGGCACACCCTAAGGGCACCGGCGGAGCGTGGCTGACAGCTGCTCCGTACTTACTCAGATCCTGACATCGGATGGTGTGGAAGTCAAAGTTAATGCAGAGATAGTCGCACGTGTCTCTGAGATCTGGGATGGAGATGCCATCTGGACAGTTGATGATGCCAGTTTTGTAATAATCCTGTGAAGGGATCAGGAAGGACAACTACATGGAAAGAACTCCTCTAACCTATGCACTGCTGATTCTGCGTAAGGGTGCAGCACGCCAGCATGCATGGCACGGTGGGGGACAGAAGATGCACTACATACCAGCACTGTGCGGAACACAGTGGCGCTGATCCCTTCTGCGATCTCATACTCCCCCTTCTCATTGGGCCTTGTAAAGTTGTATTCTCTTCCTGGTCCGAACATCCTGAAAGACAGCAGCAACATCAGCAGCTTCCCCGGCAGGCGCTGCAGAGGCAGCTCTACCCCTCTCTGCCATGCACTAACCCCCCTCCATGGCATAACTTAAAAGCACAGCATAGGACCTGCGCCATCAGATGAATGCACGCCTCAGCAAACGCCTTCACACAAAAGGCAAAGAGGGAAGCATCGCCTGTGGCAGCAGACACAACACAGGCAATGTAGAGGAAGCTGTGGCGCTCTTCTACTGCCCAAGAACTTGCCAGAGTAAGCCAGCCCTCCTGGCTGCCTGTGCCTTTCCCCTCGTCCTGCCCAGTATGTCATTGCTCAGCACCTTGAGCTTTGCCTTCACCACTAATCTGTGAGGCAAATCTGCAGAGGCGGCAGCACTGGTAATGCGTTCCCTCCCAGCTCATCTTCCCTTCTGGAATCCACCCCTGGATCACTGCTCCGACAGGCTGCTCTAGCCATGGGTTTCAGACACGTGTGAGGCTCCTCTGCCACTTGACATATTTCAGTGAGGCCTGCTCTCACCATGAGCTCTTCAGGATCTGGTCAGAATCCCAGCACACACAGGGCGGCTCACAGCCATCTGCAACTCCAGTGCAGACACCTGACACCCTGCCTGGCCTTCTCGGACACTGCGTTTATGTCTGCTGCGCAGACACGCCTGCAGGCACAGCACCTACATTAAGAAAGCATCGACTGCTGCAGTTCAGGGCTGTAGCTCAGTACAGTGCTTGTTTCCCATGCAGGATAGTGTGGGTTCAACCTCTAGTACTGCTGCCCCCCCCCCAAAAAAAACCCCAAAAACCCAAATGGGTAGGAGGCAAAAGTTTTTTTCTAAAATGGCTTTGTTGTTCTTGTACCACGTGGATTATTTCTAACACTTTTTCACAGAAGGGAAACAATGTGGCATAAGTCTCAACTTAGCATCTCTGACCTGTGCAGCTCAGAGAGCACCCAGTGTTTACAGAGAGGAGGAACAGGCCCAGGAGCCCCCGAGGCTCCTCTGTGATGCTCCTCATCTGGATGTACGAGCGCAGCCCTCCCAGCATCAAGGCACCAGGCCTCCACCAACTTCCCCACAGAAGTATGAAGGCAGGAAAGTCAGCAGGATACTGCGGTGCAGCTTTGCATCTGATGCAAAGTCACAGAGAACGGAGTGTGCGCAGCTGGAAACGGTCATTACCTTCCCAACATGGTATCCGGATGCGCAGTGAAAATCTGAGGATTTACCACGAAACGTGTGCCATCGACAAGAAGTGTCACTTTCTCTGGGGCTGGGGAGTGAGTGCTACCGCCAAAGCCCACGCTGCTGTTTCCAAATCTCTCCGGACCAATGAAGGGCTCGTGGCTCCGCTTGCTCCCACTCTGGAAGCAGGAGCCCTTGCTGTCCTCAGGCAGTGGCATTATGTGAGGGTGCTGAAGGCTTGCTGGCTGAGGGGCATAAGCAAGCACAAGGTCTGCAAGATGAGCAAATGACTAAGTAACTGAAGAGCCAAAGTCCAGAGAAAACGTCTCTTCCAAAACAACAAATGAACAAAAACCTAAAGCCATAGGTGTTCACAGCTAAGACAACATCCTAGACAAAATTAAAAACAAAACTAGACACTTGAAAGCCAAAGGTAGGCAGGCAGATCTCTGAATTTGAGGCTAGCCTGCTTGCTCTACAGAGCAAGTTCCAGGATAGCCAGGACTACAGAGAGAAACCCTGTCTTGAAAAACCAAACCCAACCAACCAAATCCCCCTCACAAAACTCGAATCTGCCAATGCTGTAGATAAGCTCCTTCCATGTACACGTATGACACAGTGCTTGGGGAGACAGAAGGCAGAAAGGCCCACCCTTTAAAGCAGCTGTCATGTTAAAGTAAGCAGCACAGTGAAAAAGACCGGACAGAAGAACAGTGCCTACATGGTGTGCTGACTCGCCATGGTCCAGCAGTCTCCTGCCAGTCCCTGAAAACTGGAGTTACAGGTGGTTTTGCACCACCCAACACAGGTGCTGGGAACCAAACTCAAGTCCCATATAAGAGCAGGAACACTCTTGGCTGAGCACCCTGGTCCACATTTAGTATTGAGACAGGTCTCATGTACTCTAGGCTGGCCTCCCACTCACTGGGAGTGACTGATTTCCTCCCTCCACCTCTGAGTGCTGGGAGCAGCGCACATGCCCTCACTTCAGAGGCGGGGTGCTGGAGTGGGGTCCCGTGTTCTTCACTGACGCTCAGCTATAGCCCCAGTGCTACTGTTTGGCACTTAGGAGCTCCTGCTGTGTGCTGAAACTCATTTTTCAGTGTCCAAATTTTCAGGCTCCAAGCTGCTTTTTGTTTTTTCGAGGCAAGTTTCTTTGTGTCCAGTCTGGCTGGCCCTGAACTCAAGAGATCCACCTGCCCCTGCTTCCCAAGAGCCCTGATTAAAGGTGTACGCCGCCGCCGCCGCCGCCGCCAGGCTCCTTGTTTTTAACTTGCCAGGAAGAATGAAATAAAGTCTTTACCTAATTTGTTACTCTTCCTAGAAATGCAAAGAATATACTCACGGGATCTCATCTTTCTGTCCTATCACCTAAAAGCTATTTTCTTTAAATCATTTAAAATGCCCCCCTCTACTTTGCGACAGGGTCTGTGAAGCCTGGGCTGCCCTTAAACTAGAGTGGAAGCTAAGGATGCAATGCAACCTCTGACCCTCATCTCCCCTCCCCCAGGGCTGGATTACAGGCATGTGATGTCACATGTGGTTTGTGTGGTACCGAAGACCAGCGTGACAGGGCTAGACAGGTCATCTCTGGAATGCTGGTTCCATGAACAAGGACTCCTCTTCAGTATGCACATTTGCTTTCTGTCTCTAATAAACAGTAAAATTACCTATAAAGGCTTGTTTTGCTGAGCAATTTTAAGAAGCACATGTATGGGAAGCCACGAGGTGGCTCCGTGAGCAAAGCATTGCCACTCAGGTCCACCAACCGCAGCTTGACTCCCAGAACCCACGTAAAGGTAGAAGCGAGCGCTCCAGAAAGCTGCCCCCTGGTGGCCTCTGAGAGCGGGCACGCTACAGCACCAATAAACAGGTAACAAGGAGCTGCTGCTCGGCTGGTCGACATGTGCTTAGCACGCCCCATGTTTGACCCCGGTTTACTTCTGCGCTGGGGAAGTGGAGGCAGGAGGATCAGAAGTTCAAAGTCAGCTACCTAGTAAGTGTGGGACCAGCCTGGGCTACCTAGTCTCAAAAACCCAAAACCAAAACACCCCCCACCACACACACACACCAAAACCCTAAATCTTAACAAACATGGGCTGTATCCAAATTGGGCCATTTTGTAAAATTTTGGGGCTGGAGAGACAGTTCAGCGGTTAGAGGCACTGCTCCTCCAAAGGACCTGAATGTGGCTTCCAACCATCTGTAACTTCAGTTTCAGGGGATCTGACACCCTTTTCTAACCTCCATGGGCACAGACATGCATGAAAAGCAAAGCACTAATACACAAGACAATCAAATAAAATATACGCAATTTTTATATATCTGTACTCAGTAAATGGTGTTTGCCTTTTTATTTTTTAAAGATTTATATATTATTCTGCCTGCATGTGTGCTTGCAGGCCAGAAGAGGGCACCAGATCTCATTATAGATGGTTGATGTACATCTTTAATCCCAGCACCCAGGAGGCAGAGGCAGTCGAATCTCTGAGTTCAAGTCCAGCCTAGCTTACAATGCCAGTTCCAAGACAGCCTAGGGCTACACAGAGAAACCTTGTCACAAAACAAAATAAAACAAAGCAAAACCTGTGTTCCAGTTTAAAAGCGAACAACCACAAGCAGCTCATTACCATTCCCGAAGAGCGAAAGGCAGTGTTCAGGAGGCGGGCCAGGGCTCCCTCTAGCGGCCTGCCCACGCAGCTACACAGCGCATCAGGAGCTGTCCTCCCAGCAGCCTCTGAGGAAGGGTGACTGAACAGTTCTGTCCCCTCCGTTTACAACAGAACTCTCAGGAGTAAGGGCCTCCTCACATTACAGCTGGAAAGGGCAGAGCAAGGCCAACCATCCCCTGACTCCAAGGTTACACCCTCAGGCCAGGTGGCCGGCTCGGGCTGACTGCAGGTTCTCTACAGGGGTCAGCTGGGTAGAGGAGACAGGTGTGCTAAGCATGTATCACTCCTGAGTACAGATGTCTGGGTGTGAGCAAGGTGCCCAGTCGCTGTACCTTCGTTCCTGGGAGCCAGGGGATAAGTGCGCATATAAAGACCAGAGGGCACCAAGCCGCTGCCTCCTTTCTCTCGAGTGGCAGCTAAGGCCTCATCTCCTAGGCAGCCGAGCTCTGGCTGCAATAACCTGCTGCTATCACTGCCCTGCTGAGCACGCATTCTTAGGAAGGGGGCATGGAAACAAGGCATGTGATGACGGTCCTCCACGGTCTGTAGTGGTTGCTAAGCGCCATCTGGAACACCGGTGGATCTAGACGGCTACCAACCACTGTGATTTGGTGCACTGGTTACTGGGAACATTGTTTTGCTTTGAGACAAGGTCCTTCTCCATAGCTCTGGCTATCCTTGACTTCACAGAGATCTGCCCTGAGCGCTGAGATCAAAGCACGTGCCGACATTCGGGCTCTGCACCAGGAAGTCTACATGTGAAGTAGAGGAATATGATCTGGTGTCATTCGCGCCACACATCGTGAGGTGGGAAAAGAGCGCAGAAGCTGAAAGTCGGCCAGGATTTGTTGTGTAATGGCATACGCATGCCTGCAACTATAAAGCACACAGAAATCCCAACCATAAAGCTGTGCTACCATGAGTGTGGCTAACACAGATGCTGGAACTGTTCAAAGTGCTAAGATAAGCAACAGCAAGTGCCCCCTGTGGAGAAGACGTCTACGGAACCTCCACGCTAAGCCCAGGGACCATCTCAGAAGAAGGGGTGGAGAAATGGAAACCCCAGCAGTTCCGGTTCCCAAGATCAAGCCAGTGACAACCTCGGGGTGAAGGGGAGGTGCCACAGGCAGGGTGCCCACGCCCAGCGATGACCTCGTACCAGGCACCCCGGGCAGCACTCAGAGGCATGAAGCTGGGAGGGAGGCGTTGGGGAGGAGCTGGGGAGTTGGAGGGAAAGGGCGTGACTGTACACGCGAATGGCTTCTTCACGGACTACACGGGAGCAAGAGGAGCTGACGGTGCAGTGTGAGGACCAGGGTCTGAGTTTGCTTTGCAGCACCCACACAGTGGCTCACCGGCAACTCTAGCTCCAGAGGACCCAATGGCTTCTCCTGACACCTCAGGATCCTCTCACACTTGCACACGTGTGCGGTGCGCGCGCGCACAGGAGCACCTCATTCCAACAAGCTAATCAAACAAGCCAACTTCCACTTGTGCTGCTGAGGTTCTTTTCTTTTTATCTTCTCTTTTCCACCTTCTACCCCCCTTGCGCACCCCTAAGTGCAGCCATGAACTCTCACTGGCTAGAACGCTTTCCATGCCACCTCTCCCCACAAGCAGCCCACAATCCCTTACACACACACACACACACACACACGCACACACACGCACACGCACACACACACACAGTAGTCCTCTCGACTGATGAGGAAAACCACAGCAAGCCTGATTCCGACCACTTTCCTCTTCCAGAGAGCAGCAACTTTAGAAACAGCTGAGACAGGCTGTGTATAAGACTGAGCAGAAATAGCTGCTAGGGAGCGGCAAGTCAGCCAGACACAGCAGCTTCACACTGCTGAGGGGGAGGACTGGGAGAGGCTGGCCTTGTAGGAGCCTGAAGTGAGAATTCCACCAGCAACAGTGAGCCCTCTGGTCAGGAGTGAGACAGAAAGCATTCCACGTTCACGCCACTACAGTGCAAAAGCGGCCACCAGCAACTCCCGTGTGTCAACATGGCTGTGTTCCAGTAAACACGCTGTGTTCTAGTGAAGCTGTCTAGGAACACGAGTGAACAACAGTCTGCCGCCCTGGACCCACACATCGGACCTAACAGGCCAAGACTGCGGAGCGTCATTCTCAAGCACTCTTGGATGCTCGGTTGGAGCTGCACATCAGCAGACAGCACTGTCTCAGCTGTTAGCACACCGCCATCCACAACCATGCTTCCAAGCACAGTTTATCAATAGTCAGCAACAAGAGTGTCCGAAAGTGTTAGGAAAGTAAGCAACTTATTTCAGAATAACCTGGGTTTAAAAAACAAAAAGGAAATCACAACTGGATATAAGAAATATTTTCAACTGAACGACAAAATACATCACAGGCGAGCTTGAATCAGGAGAAAGCCCAGTGCAAAGAATGGTCTACAGCTTTATCATACCCATTCAAAAAGAACCCAAAGACAGCAAAATATCCTTCTCCACAAACACCTTCTCAGTCTCAAAGAATATGTAAGAAAAGTAAGGGTGGAAATTAAAAAAGAAGAAAGCCAGGGCACTGTCCCACACCAGTAATCCCAGCACTCTGGAGCAGGAAGAAGCCAGTGGCAAGCAAGCCTAGACCGCAGTAAGGTTCTGTCTCAGGGAGAGAAACGGACAAGGCTAACTGAGTGGGAATGCTGGCCTCCGCCCCGCCCTGAAATGTCTGTGGTAGACAGCTTAAAACAACAGGCCAAAGCTGGGGTCCCATCCCCAGCCACCACAGAGAACAAAAGCTCGACTGATAAAGGGGGCTCAGTCAGCAGGTGAAGGCGCTCGCCCGAGCTCAACCTCTGTTTGATCCCAGAACCACACAGAGGAAGGAAAGAAAGTTGTCCTCTCCTCTGACCTCACATGCAGACTACGGCTCCAGCAGGCACACGTGCCCCACACATAAAATATGTAATAAACCATTTCATTCTTAAAAAAAAAAAAATTCAACAGTGAAACCAGAAGTTAGCTTTTAAAAACCGATGAAAACAATATATAAGATCTCTAACAGTGATCAAGAAAAAATAGAGGTAATGATTATTACAGTAAAAACCACACAACTGTACCCTTCATAAGGATGAGTTACATATGCAAATTACCTCAATGAAAAGTTTTTAAAGGCTCAGTCAGTAAAGTGCTAGTCTTGCAAGCATGAGGACTTGAGGTCATTTCCAGAACCCACACTAACTAAGTGAGCGTGCTGCCGGTGTGTCCCTATAACCCACCTGGGGTGGCGGGGACAGGCAGATCCCTACAGCTCACTGGCCAGCCAGCTTAGCCTGCAGAAACCGACTCCGTGAAGACAGAGCTTGCCCCACAAGCATGAGGACCAGGCTGAGACGACAGGTATGGTGGCCACCGGCGAGGCCAGCACCGGGGAAGCAGACAGAGGGGTTCCCAGGACAAGCTGCCTAGCCAGCTAACTACAGGGTTAGTCAGGGTTTCAGCAAGAGACCCTGCCTCAGTAAACAGAAACAGTGGTCAAGGAGACACCTGGTGTCAACCCTGCCCCTCCCATGTGCACACTTGCAGGCAGACCCGCGTACAGAAAATCAAAAAACAAAGTGGGACATCCTGATCAGTAGCCAAGGCTACCTTACGGCCTCCACACACATGCACAAATAAGCACAGACAGAAACAAAAAATGAAAACATATAATACAATTACTTGTCTGAAAACGAAAAATAAATGATAAATTACATGTCCAGAATGTGGCAAGTTCTAAAACTCTGCAATCTGAATGCTTCAAAATCTCAAACTTTTCATCTTAGATATGAAGCCACGAATAGAAATTTCCACACTGTATAACTTTGTTTCGTACAGAGAAGTATTAAAAATATCACATAAAATATTTTCAGACCATGGGTATATAAAACAAATTAATTTCATGACCCAAGCCCCACCCACAAATATGCAAATACTTCCAAATCCCGACGAAACAAAGTGTGCGCTCTGGAATTGTATGGGACACCCTGCCTGCAGGCCGCCGCCTGGTGCCCTGCCCCATCACCCTATATTCTGAGACAGTCTTTCCGTAAGCTGGCTTTCACCAACTGACTAAACCGGCTGGTCGATGCACCCATGGACCTTGGCACCTCAGGCACACACTCCCACACCCGGCTGTTGACCTGGATGCTGGAGGTCTGAACTCAGCCCATGTCTGCACAGCATCTCCCCAGTCCGAGACCTGGATGAGAACGCAAACGTGACTACTGTCACAGAACTGGGAGATTAGTGTGTATGCCATGCAACTTCTGGCAGAAATTAAATTTTTGAAAGCACAACAATTCAAAATAAAACAGAAATGTAGTCTTTAAAGTCCTAGTAATTTAATCACAATTATCAAAAGAAAAGTCCAACATCAAATAGTGTGATTGGCAAAAATCACACACACCCCTTTTTTTTAAGCCAGTGTGAGCTTTCTAAGACTGTGTCTGCGAAAATAAAATGGGCTGGAGAGACGGCTCTGCTGGCTAAGAGCACCGGCTGCTCTTGCAGAGGACCAGAGTTCCATTCCCAGCACCCACATGGTGGCTCCCAGAAGTCTGTTAACTCCAGTTCCAAGGGATATGACGAACTCATATTGAGGGCATAGCATGTGGTAAAGGCACATAACAAACCTGGTATACATTCAGGCAAAACAAAAAATCCCCAAAACAAAACAAAAACCAACTAAGATATCCAATAAATCTGGTCATGACAAAAGTAGCTCAAGACAGCATCAAAAGTTCTTAAGACTGCTCATATACAGGACTTGTAAAAGCCGATCTCTACGAAGTCTTTCCTAAAGCTCTCTTTAAAAATAGCGAGCTTGTAAGCTCTCGGCTTTCAGAAGACAGCCACATCCGCTTTTACTGACCCTTCCACTGCTTAGTTCAAGCTTCCAAGATTTATTTTAGTACTTTTCCTTCTTCACAATGAACACATTTTCCTTCAACTTTCCATATAATAATGGCTTTGTGGTCATATGAAAGCCTGTCCATTTTCTCCCCCTTTTTATTTCTCTCTGCTCTGAACCCTTTCCCTTCTGAAGCACTTAAAAAATAATTTAGTGAGCTCTCACTCTCTTACACCTTCTCTTTACACTCTTCTCTTTCTTCTCTTTCTCTCTCTCTCTCTCTTGGGGCGACCCCATTTTCCCCTTCCCTTTCCCTCTCTCTTTCCCCACCATGCCCTGCTACCCACTTCCTCCATACCCCCCTAATAAACCTCTCGCAGAGGAAAAAAAAAATTTTAGTGGGACAAAGCAGCAGGCTAGGACCAGGAATCCCCACTCCACACCTCATCTCTCAGCCTCTTGTGTTTGGAAGGGGGGAGGAGGGGAACAGTACACTAAGGCAAAACCTTGTGCCTCACACCGGTGCCAAGCAGGCACTGTACCAGTGAGTGACATCACTAGCCTACCCTGGAGTCTTTACCTGAAAGACGAGAAGGCTGTACCGGGTAAACTGAGAATTTACTCCTTTAAGCTTCGTATTTCAATGACTGTGAGTGCCCCAACTTCACCCATTTAACACCCAACAGTTCCCTGGAGCTTCTCAGTCCAATTAGCAGTGCAAGACCGGAGAGGTCAGATTTCGGGGCAGGTGGGAGGCACACACACACACACACAGAAAAAAAATCAGGAAGAAAGACACACCATTTTGTAAATCAACAACAAAAACCATCAACAAGTAAAGACAGACATCCAAAAAAGACACCAAAGCCGAGAAAAATGCCACAACTTCAGAGGGCTAACGTTAGTCACCTGTGGAGTCTATTTCAAGAGGCATTAAGAAGCAGAAAACACCTTGGGCAGAGTCGGGGCATCCAGCCCTCGTTTCTGCCAGAGAGCAAGGGGATTCTGGGCCCTATATGGGACACTGTTTATAAAATGACTTGCTTCAGTGCTTTGCCTAAGATAAACACTACTCAGACACTCAGCGAATTGCTGCCCAGAAGAACTAAAGGCCCCAAACCGCTACGGATGCTGGTACATCCCAGAGGAGGACCTCCGGGCTACGGGAATCACCGGGCACTGTCGGTACTGTGGGGTCAGGCTGAGAGCGCCGAAGAGGGAGACCTGCTTAAGCTCGGAGGATCCTAGCAACAGGCTCCAGAAACAGGGCCCGCTAGCCAGACGCAAGCCATCTTTCTCCCACCAAGGCAATAACAGGATATGTAGGAAAGCCATTTCCTACCGTGATGTCAGGGTTCCAGAAAACACTAACCTTTCTCACACAGCCTTCCGGGCCGGTTGAGAGAAGGAGAGGAGAAAGACAACAAAAAAAAGAGCAGGGCTCCGGGCAGTTTTTACAATTCTCGGGCCAAGCTACTTGGGGCTTGCCCAAGGTCTGGTCCCTGGCTGACCAGCGCAGCCCAAGCGAGGGGGGGGTGAGTGGCCGACAAGGCTAGACTCAGGGGGCCCACTCCAGATTTCCAGAATTCATTTCTGGGAGCCATGCTAGGGTCCTGCGACCTTGGAAAGGGGCAAACCACGCTTGAGAACGGCTTAGGATCTTGGTTTTTGTCCTCTTTTGGAATGGGGCTGACGTTCGAATTCAAGATTCATCACAACTAATTATTATTCCAACACTTTATCTGGGCGACCATTTGAAAAAGAAAAAAGAAAAAAAAAAAAAAAACCAAACTCAAATTTCTAGGTAAACAACGGGCACCGCGAACGGGCTGAGAGATGCATTTTCTTAAGTCGGTCGAGTTCCTTGTTATTCACTTGGAAGCAGTCGCTCGGCCCGGTGCGGGCTCGTGGAGAAAGAACGACAAATTCCCACAACAGGGGGGGAGGTTCTCGAGGCCGACGACGCCGTCTGCCGGGAAAAAGTTCTTATCCGCGAGCAAACTCCCGGCTCCGCGCTCAGCCCGGGGCGACGACGGGGACGGGGGGCTCCCGAGTGCCCGGGGGGTGCAGGGCGGCGCGGCCGGCCTTCCCCAGCCTGGCCCGCGGGTGGGCCGCTCGCCGCGGCTCCGCTTCCGCCCCGGGCCGGGGACGCGCCGCGCCCGCCGCCATCATCAGCCCGCGCCGCCCGCCCGCCAACCCGGCACTCACCGGCCGCCCGCCGTCGCGCCCTCCGTCCCCGAGCCCCGGAAGCCGCCCGGGACCCGCCGCGCTCGGGCCTCCGC